TACAATACATATATCTGGCAAAGGCCCTGTATTCAGAATATATTACCAGCTTTCTACAAATAAAAGCAAAAACAAAAAACAATACAACTTTTAAAATGGGCAAAGGACTCACACAGACACTTCACAAAAGAAGTTAAACTAATAGCCAATAAGGACAGGAAGAGATGCTCAATATTACTAGCTATCAGAGAAATACACATTAAAACCACAGTGAGATGCCATTTCACTCCCATGAGAATGGCTAACATTAAAAGGACTGACGACACCAAATGCTGACAAGGATGTGGAACAACTCTAATTCTCATATACCAGGGGTCCTCAAACTACGGCCAGCGAGCCACATGCAAATACAAATATTGTATTTGTTCCCGTTTTGTTTTTTTACTTCAAAATAAGATATGTGCAGTGTGCATAGGAATTTGTTCATAGTTTTATTTTTGAACTATAGTCCGGCCCTCCAACGGTCTGAGGGACAGTGAATTGGCCCTGCCGGGGTCCAACCCCAGCAGGTCCAGGGGTCCCCAAAGGTGTGGACGGAGTCGGCGAAGAAGGAAGGACACGGAGACAGCGTTCAGTTGATCAGCAGCCTAGCCAGGATCTCCAGCCAGGATCTCCAGCCAAGTTCTGGTCTCGATCTCCAGAGAGGTTCTGCTTCAGATCTCCAGCCAGGTTCTGTGTCCATGTTCTCTTGCTAGGTTCTCCAGTCAGGTTCTGTCCAGGTTCTCCAGCCAGGTTCAGTCACCAGGTTCTAGTCAGGTTCTCTTGCCAATTTCTATAGTCAGGTTCAGTCCAGGATCTTTTGCCATGTTCTCTCCAGCGAAGTTCTTCTGTCTCCAGAGAACGTTCTGTGTAGGTTCTGTGCCTAGGTTCTGTCTCTCTTGGTTCCGTATTCTAAGTTCTGTATTCTAAGTTCTGTGTTCTAAGTTCTGTGTGTAGGTTCTGCCTTCTGAGTTCTGTGTTCTAAGTTCTGTATTCTAAGTTCTGTCTCTTGCTGTCTTATTACATCTGTATTTATACCAGTTGATTCAATCCTATCAATCTCTATTACAAAGGTTAGGGCGTTTCTTATCTCCATTCCAGGGAGTAAAGATTATGTAGCTTAAGCATGATTGTTCGTAGTTAAAGTGATTAATTACCCACCTGGCACTAGTTAAGAGGTTTTATTCCCTCCCTAACTTCAGGGGAAAATCCCTACCTGGGGAAACAACCTTTCTCAGAGACCTTGGTTAAAACACATAGTGCCAAGAAGGTGAGCAAACATATTAAAAACAGTATGCCATATATGCCAGGTCCCTTGAAACAGCAAGCATGGACCGGCTCCCGGCATGGCCCCCCTGTCATACACTGTGGTGAGGGTGGAGAATGGCATGACCACTTTGGAAAACTTTGTGGTTTCTTATGAAGTTAAACACATATCTATCTACCATATGACCTAGTGATTCTACTCTGAGGCATGTACTCAAGAGCAATAAAAACATAGGTATACAAAGAGACTTTTCAAGAATGTTCATTGCAGTTTTACTCACAAACTAGAAACAACCCAAGTAACCTTTAAAAAGATAATAAATGAATTGTTGTGTATTTACACAGTGGAATTATACTGAGCAAAAAAAAAAGACAGATGGTTGTTACATTGATCAACGTGGATGAATCTCAAAGAACATGCTGAGCAAAGGAATGCAGACACAAAAGGCTGAATATTGTGATTCCATTTCAAGCAAAGGCTAAACTAATCTGTGGTAAGAAAATTTCAAGACAGATTGCCTATAGGAAGTGGAATGAACTGGAAGTTCAAGAACAGGCAAAGCTAACCAATGGAAATGGAGATGAGAGTAGTGTTACCCAAAGGGGATGGAAAATGAATGAAAGAATACTTCCTAGGGAAAAGGACATCTTCTATATCTTGATTGAAGATGGTGGTTACATGGATGTATAAATTAATAAAAATACATTGAATTTTATACTTAAGATCTATGGATTTCTGTATGTAAATTTTACCCAGTGATAGGATGAATAGAAACTACATTGAAGCAAGATGTGTCCATGATCATAGGTTTTCACATATAATTCCTTTCATTTATCAGTCAATGAAAGAAAAGACTAGAAAGACAACCTACTGAATATTTAATGTTTACCAGAGTCTGAGAGTACAAAGAGGAACTTTTCCCTTGTTCTCAGAGGGGAATCAGATAAGTTGCACTGTTCTCACACCAAGAGAACTTCAGGGAAAAGCTTAGGGGGAGAGATGGGGGAGAGAAGGCATCTCAGAGACCTGGGATTCACTGTGGGGAGGGACGAAACTCTTGCACTCCCGTGCCTTTGTTCTTCAATAAGCGTGCGTAAGGGACCCCGTGTAGCCTGTGTAATGCTGCACACAGCTGGGTTTCTGGGTCTGCTTTCCCACTCAGCTGATGCCCAGGGCAGGTGGAAGCTATTCTTCATAGCTTCTTAGTCCTCCAATGAGAGAAGAGTGTGGGCCCCAGCAATCTTAATCATGCCTTTTCAAACATGTTAAGCCCTTCTTTTTGCCAGGTAGTATATCAGCGTATTAGGTCACATGTTGCTGGCATACTCATCGTTGTTCTCAAACATCTTTTAAAGCCGAGTGAAGACAATCCGAGGAGAAAAACCAGCTACTGAAAGATGTGGTGAGCCAGCACAGCCAAGGGTGAGGCGAGCCTGAGGGGAGGGGAGGAAGGGGAGGGGAGGGAGGGCGGCGAAGGATGTAGAAAAGACAGACAGAATAAGCTGGGTCTGGGTGGATCTTCCTGAGCCTGGCTGAGGCCACAGAGAGATCCAGAGGCAAGGTGAGCCTTTATTTTATAGCCAGAGGTAAACAAGGTAGTGGTCACCATAGTTACAATGTTCTTGTGAGTTTCATTTGTTTTGACAGCACTTGCTGCACCTCCCACAGCCCATTAGCTACCCAGATAAGATCTAGGGAACATCATAAGGTCAAGCCTAGTTATGCTAAGAGGGCTGTGCCCTCTAAGCTGGGACTTGTTTGTGGCTTTGCCAACAGGTCAGTCTGAGGCTTAACCCTATAGCTGCCCCCTACACAAGACAAGACCACTTAAATTTGCATTAGAGCAGCGGTCATTCAGCATCTCTCCAAAGACATTTTTTTTTTTTAATTTTGAATACAGAACCTACTGAATGTTTAATGATTTACTCTTGTGTAAATCAGTGATCTTCAGATCACATTTGCTTGACAGACAATGAAATTTGTTAAACAGGCTTTTTTTTCTACAAGGAAAAGCTCCGGCTTCTGAGAGAAATTCTGTGTTTGATGTAACCCATACAATCTGATAGAAAAGTCCCTCAACTGGCTGGATTACAAAGCTTATAGGATTACCGATCTCTGAAATCCAGGTGATTCTTGCTAATTTGGAGGTTTGTGTATATGATCATATTTTCCAGACCTGAACATTGAATCTCTGTCCCCCCACCCCCAACCCCACCCCGGGGGAATTTGGCCGTCAGCACTTTACCCTGAGTGATGGGATGGGAAGGAAGAGAGTCAACTGAGATGGAGAAAGTTATACACTCCTTGAACACAGCCTACTTTTTGTTAGTTTCAGTTTGGATTTGAAAACACAATCAGACATGATTCTTGCCATTAAGGAGCTGATTGTGTGTAAGCAACCTTTGTATACATCTGGGAAGAAGGGGTTAAAGACCATGGAATATTAGGGTATTCAATTTACCCATAAAAGTCTTTTAGTTTATCAGTCAAGGAAAGAAAGGAGGAATAAAAGGACAACCTATTGAATATTTAATGTCCTTGTAGGACTAATTGAGAGCTATGTTATTCATTCATTCATTGACTTATTGCCATTAAATTGCTCATTTGTTTCACACTAAATGAAATAAGAGATTAGAAACCTGGGTTTTATTTCTGTTTCTACCACTAACTGGCTTTGTGACTCCAGTGGGTAGTCTGTTCCCTGCCTTAACTTCTGTGTTTGTAAAATTGGTATAGTAATTCTTGCTCCAAGTGACTTGCTGGCCAGTATATATATTTCAGAGAGGAAGGGAGAGAGAGAGAGAAACATCAATGATGAGAGAGAATCATCCATCAGTGCCTCCTGCACACTCCCTACTGGGGATTGAGCCCACAACCCAGGCATGTGACCTGATGGGGAATCAAACTGTGACCTCCTGCCTGGTTCATAGGTCATGGGTCGATGCTCAACCACTGAGCCACGCTGGCCAGGCTGTGCTGGTCAGTTTTGAGAGTCAAATGAGATAAATGGATACAAACAGCGTTGACAAATAAGAAACTCACCTCTGGCCCTAACTGGTTTGACTCAGTGGATAGAGTGTCAGCCTGTAGACTGAAGGGTCCCAGGTTCAATTCTGGTCAAGGGCATGTACCTTGGTTGCTGGCACATCCCCAGTAGGGGGTGTGTAGGAGGCAGCTGATCGATGTTTCTCTCTCATTGATGTTTCTAACTCTCTGTCCCTCTCCCTTCCTCTCTGTAAAAAATCAATAAAATATATTTTTTTAAAAAGAAACTCACCTCTGTGAGATAATATTGTCTTTGTTCAGGCAGCCTGATATAGGCCAGTGGTTCTAGACCTGACCATGAGCAGTGATCCTGGAGGATTCTATGAAAATACAGATTAGCGGGCCCTGCCTCTGGAGTTTCTGGGGCTGCAGCTCAGGACTCTGCATTTAAGAAGCACTTGAAGTAATCCTGATGCAGGAGAGCTGGGAGTCCCACTGCAAATCCGATGATTCCTCCACAAGATGTCTCTTCCCAGGAAGGTCCCGGGGGCCCTCATGTTGGAGCCTTTGCCTTGGGTTTACTTATGCATGTTCAGAAGTGACGTCTCTCAGTTCTGATGTTTGTCTGCATGCTCTGTACAGGGACTTGCACTCCGTGTGTGCCCAGTGGAAATCCGCCGGCCTGGCCTGCCCTACATGCCCCAAACCACGATTCAGCAGGAGAATGAGGCAGAGTGTAAGCAGTCCTTTCTTTCCCTTTTCTCTATAGCAACGCAGAGCCTTCGGAGAAGAGATTCAGAATGAGCAGCTTTGTGTCAGACTTCGGAAGACCGCTGGAGCCAGACAAGGGCAATGAGGAGTCCCGGTCTCTCTTTCACTGCTACGTCACTGAGGCGGAGCACCTGGAGAAGGCCAGGGCTGGCCAGCAGACCACAGCCCTCGACAGCGACGTGCAGCTGCAGGAAGTCACCAGAAGCAGCGGGCGGCCAGAGGAGGAGCTGAACAGGCTCATGAAATTTGACATCCCCAACTTTGTGAACACGGACCAGAACTCCTCCTTTGGGGACGATGATCTTCTGATTTCAGAACCACCTGTTGTCTGTTGTTCTGGAAAATAAGCCAGTTTCCCAGACTTCACACAGAGACCCGGATTGAGAAACATGCTCTGTAATTTTCTTCCTGAAGATGTTGGGGTGTGTTTGTATAGCAAGAAATCTTCATTTACCAAAGTGGTGTGTGTCTGAGAGAGAGAGAGAGAGAGAGAGAGAGAGAGAGAGAGAGAGAGAGAGAGAAGAGAGAGCCCCCTCAGAAGGGAGCTGATTCAGCTGAGTTTTTATGCCTTTAAACACAACATCTGGGGCTTTGGGGGGAATAAAGTAACCGTCTCACCTTCCTTAATGTTGAGGAATTTGGCCACATACTAGGCATCAGCATTCTCGAATGGGGGTTATCTTCTGTGTTCCTGCCACGGCCATTCTCTGCCTTTAGCAAATTGCTTTCCCTCTGGGCTGCCGCATCCTTTTCCTATAAGGTGAGGAGTCTGGGGTAGATGTTCCCCACTGGCTCTAATATTTTGTGAATTTCTGACTGTGCATGCAGACGAGGCTGGGGTATACATAAAGCCGCATAAACTAAGGCACTGGATCCTATTTCTGATTGTAGGACTCCCCACCCCTGCAAATGTCTGTACCTGCACTCAACCCTTAACTGAGCTCAGCTTTTGCCCGGGCCCAAATGCCTACCAGGATGCCAGGACACTCGTCTCACACATCACTGTGGACAACATTTCTGTCGGCTGTGCCAAAACAGCTTTTCTGAGGACCTCTGGCCACCCATGCTCAAACCAGGGGACAGTCCTACAATGAATTTCAGTCCATGGTATATCTCATAGAACTCCAGTCCCCAAGAAATGTAAGCGAGGTTATCAGCTGAGTGAGGGAGGTGACCTGTGTGTGTCTCTGTGTTGATCTGTCTGTGTCTGGTCACACTGGTGTCCCCTTGGCCACTGAACAAGTCAAGTGCTATTTGCCATGCAGTCTGCTTGCTTGGCAGATGTGTAGGGGATGCTCATCTGGCTAGTATGCGGCTGTGAGTTAAGATGGCGAATGGGTTGTAAATACCCCACGAATAGATATGCAGGTCGGCCTGGTACAACACATTTAAACATGCCCCTGGTATCAGAAATAATTCGGTTTTACACTTCCAGGTTGCATGCATGGCCAACTGCTAATCTCGGTGATGTATTCATTATGGATTTGTTCACCACCTGTCTTGCTTAAGTTAAAAAATAAATACGTTTGATTGCACAGGAATTTTCTCTGGTTCTTTGTTTTCACACATCCAGTGTTTTTTATTTCCTTCGTATAACTATTCCTTGTTTATAATGCCTCCTAACTTCTACTATCTCCAGGAGCCTAGTAGTCCAAGTCACGTCAGCTTTCATTTAGGAATTATTCCATCAAAAGAAATCCCTTTCTCATAATGTCTTTTGAGGAAAATATTCTTCTTTGAGAATCTAACGCTAAACAGATCAAGGAGTGAAATGTTTTTTGTAACTAAAGCTGCTATAACACATTCTTGCAAACAGAGACCTGCTGTTTTTGATGAATATTTTCAGGAAAGAGAGCAAGAGTAGCAAAGAATGCTGATTTTATTAACTTCTAATATGGACATTTTTCATAATTAACCAAATTAAACTATTTTTATTAAGAGTAAAAGCTCTTCAAATGGTATTTGATTTAGAAGTGGATTTATTAAAAGACTGAAGGATATTTAAAAGTTGGAAAAATACCCATGACTCCTGTCGTTTTTGTGAACTAAATGTCAAAGACTGGGAAGATCTAAGGTCTTACCCCCGTGGCTAACCAGCCAACTGGCTCAGCTGCGTGGGTGCATGGAAGACAGAAGACTCCTGAGTCGGAAACAACGAATTTCATTACAGCCCAGCAGGCAGCAGTGCTTCCTGTTCCTGGTGGTTCCTGAATTCATTTGCCACTGCTGTTTGAACAAAAGACAACACTGTGGGGCTTAAAGAAACACAGATTTCTTCTCTTAGAGTTCTGGGGTGCAGACTCCAAAAGCAGTCTTCGTGGGCTCAAGTCAAGGTGTGGCCAGGGCTGTGTTCCACCTGAGGATCCAGTGAAGAATCCATCTCCTTGCCGTTTCCAGCTCCTGGTCCCTCTCACTGTGACCTCTGCTTCTCCTTTATGTCTCTGTCTCTGACCATCAGGTCTCCCCCCTCTAAAGGCCCTGGGATTGGTTACAGTGGATTACCTGGGTAATCTCCCATCTCAGGATCCTTAGTCAGTGTAAGGTAATGGGTTCAGATTCTGGGAGTAGGACATGGACGTGTTTGGGGGACATTAGCCTACCAACAGTCTTCCGTTTGGTCCCAAAGATTCATACCCATCCCACATGTAGAATACAATGATCTCATCCCAACATCTTCCAAAGTCTCAATTATTATAGCATCAACTCAGTGTCCTATATATACACTAAATCTTATCAACTCACAAGTCCCAAATCTCATCATTTTAATCATCTCGGTCAGGTTTGGTTGAGACCCTGGGTCAGCTCCATCATGGGGAAAACTCCATCTGTGGACCTGTAAAACCAAGGAACAAAGGATTGGTCCCCAAGTATCTGTACTATGTGGAGAAAACCCCACACAGACATGGGAAAAACATGCAAATCCCACACACACAGTGGCCCCAGCCAGGGATCCGTATTTTCTCTGACCAGCATTAGAACAAAACGCTGCTGAATAAAACAGCATTACTTGGAGACCTGCTTCTGTGTGGTACAGGAGGAGAACTAAGGCTCTGGGACACGTAGTATATTGCAAAGCACAGATCAGGCCAAGCTGGGCTTCGAGCAAATAACGAATCTCTGGGAGGCTTGAATGACTCCTTCTGTTGGTTAGTATTTACCTGGTATACCTTTTTTCTGTCTCTAACTTTGGACCTTTGTCTGTCTGTCATTCTTTTTAACTTTAAATCTATGTTTTAATTTTTACTTTGTTTCAGGCAAATAAATGAAATCTGTGAGGCTATCTTTTACTTGCAAGTTTATTCCGTCTAAACATATTGTGATTCCTGATGATGTTTCATTTCTCACATCTGTTTTGTGGTTTTTATTTAATGGCCTCTATTTTTCCTGCTTTGTATCATGTAGTCATGGCCAAGAGCACGGGGTCTATAGATAGCCTATCGGGGCTTGGATCCATCCCTTGCTAACTGTGCAGCCTTAACCAGGACACCTCGTCTCTTTGAGATTCAGTTTCCTCTGTACAAAAAGGGGTACTACCCAACTCAAAGTTTGTGAGCATTAAGTGGTAAAATATATAAAACACTTAGAATAGTGACTGGCCTAGCCTACACATTCCATTTTAGTGCCTTTGTATTCTCTTTTTAAGCAAGTATTTTAGAGATTACTCCTGAATTTTAATGAACACACTAGATGTTAAAAGTTAAAGTCTATTGTTTAATCCACCCAATTGAATTGTATATCAATTGTTATATATATTTTATTTTCATAAGGTCTGGGTTTTTTAAATTGATTTTAGAGAGAGGAAGGGAGAAAGAGAGAGAAACAGCGATGTGATCAGTTTCCTCCCATACGCCATACGCGCCCCACCTGGGTACTGAACTTGCAACGTGGGTAGTGCCCTGAATGGGAATCGAACCCGTGACCCTGGGGTGCATGGGACAGCACTCCAACCAACTGAGCTACATCAGCCAGAGGCTATTTGTTCTTTTTTAAAAATATGTTCTGTTCTTTTTACCTGGTGTCCTGATTTTATTACACTTTCTATGGTTTATTTTTAAAATGATTCATCCATACTTCTTCCAGGCTCTCTTTTAGGTTGCTTCATGTGGTAATTTTAGGCTCTGGAATACTAAGCATCCTAGGGTTTTAGGGTTTGCTGCTTCTACTCGCAGTAAATTACGTTTGGCTGTTCTTAGTCCGTGTGTGTGTGTAGAATTGTGTGAGTTTCTCTTTAGCGAGGATTATTTTATTTCCTGTGATTGTCCCATGAACCCCGGTTTATAAAAGTTTCCCTAGAGAACAAATCTGTGTTGCTTATCCTTAGGCTCCAAGTGATTTGCTCAATCTGGAATTCTGTTATATTTTGCTTGCAGATTCCTATATCCTAAGTAGAGTATAACTAAGGATCCCACATCCACAGGAAGGATGAGCTGAGGGATTAGCTTTTTGAAGGGAGACTGTTTTTTCGTAGCGACCCCAGTAGCACCAGCTTCCTCATCCCTCTCCGGTGTCAGTGTGTAGGTCCTTTGCGTCTCCTTTTCTTTGACTTCCATGCAGGGAGTCTCAGTCAAGCAAGAGAGTGTATCAGGCATGAATCCTTTTTCCTGAAGGAACATTATTACACTAATCACTCACCATGTGGATTAAAACCCCTTCCCTCCAGGGCACCGTGGCGCCAGCCCCCAGCTTCCCGTTCTGGCTTTAAGTTTCCTGTTTGTTTTTGTCACCTGGGAATTTCTTTTTCCTTCACGGTTAGCTCACGGTTATTTTTTGTTGTTGTATTTTATCCAATATTACTAAGAGTTGTACTTTTAAAGGGACTCACATTAGCTCAGTTCACCACGTTTCTAGAACTGAAAGCTCCAGTTCTAGCGTATCTGTCAGAGTCTTCTCAAACATACCACTCAGAGTATTTCTCTGGTGAAAGCCTTTGTCTTTTCATCTGTTTTGTCCATTATTTCCTCCATTTTATTGGACATATTATTTTATAGTCTTTATTTGCTGGCCCTGATACCAGGGCTTGCATTTGTTGTCTAATGTTTTTTATTCTCACATTATCAATCATATAGTCTTGACATATCACATGTCTAGCAATTTTTTATTATTCAGCAGCCACGGTGAGCAAAAAATCCAGTGACACTATATGCTGTCACCTTCCATGAGAGCAATTTCTCCCCTTCCTGTTAGGCAGGTAGGGTGAGGGGCTGATCTACTCACTCTAGTCAGGCTTGGAGATGGGTCAGGACTAAATTGCAATTTTAAAAATAAATATATATTTATTGATTTTAGAGAGGAAGGGAGAGGGGGAGAGAGAGGGGTAGAAACATAAATGATGAGAGAGAATCATTGATCAACTGCCTCCTGCACATCCCCACTGGGATTGAGCCCTCAACCCAGGCATATGCCCTGACCAGGAATTGAACCTTGACCTCCTGGTTCATAGATCAGCGCTCAACTACTGAGCCTCACTGGCCAGGCCTAAATTGCAATTTTAAAAACAACTTTGCAGTATACTTGACAAAATAACTTTCATATGCTTAAAGTATTTAATATGTTTTGACATATGTAAATTCTAATAATATCATCGCCACAATCAAGATATGAACATATGCATTAACCACAAAAATTTTCTTGTGCCCTTTTGTAATCCTTCCTTCCCCATCCCTTCCCCTGAAACCAACACATATGTGGACAATTTATTTTCAATATGGGCACAAAGGGAATTTAATGGGGAGAACATCTTTTCATCAGATAGTTCTGGAATGATTACATGTCCATATGCAAATAAATGAACTTTGATCTGCTTTTTATTGATCTGCTCTCTGTCACTCTATACTGGTTTGCATTTACAAGATATTTGTATGAATGCAATCATGGAGTATGTACTCTGTTATGTCTGGCTTTTTCATTCAGCGCAATTATTTTGAAATTCATCCAGGTTATTGTATCAATAGTTCATTCCATTTTATTGCTCACTATGTTTCATTGTATGGATAATCATAATTTGTTTATTTACTTGTTGATGGACATTTAGGTTATTCACAATTTTGGCTATTAAAAATAAAACTGCTGGGAATATTTGTTTACAGGTCTTTGTATGAATATATACTTTTATTTTCTTTTGTGCCTAGGAGAGGAATGTCTGAGTTATATGGTAGATAAGTGTATATCTTTATTTTTCACTTTTCTTTTGCATTTTAATTTTATTTTTTAATTTAAATTCTTTATTGTTTAGATATGTGCATATCTTTTTAAAAAACTAAGTTGTTTTCCAAAATGGTTGTATCATTTCAAATTCTCTGAGTGTATAAGAATTCTGGTTGCTCTGGCTCATTGCTAACATCTTGTAAGGTCAATATTTTTAATGGTATCCATTCTAATATGTGTGTGTAATAGTATCTCATTGTGGTTTTTAGTTGCATTTCATTAATGACTGATGGTATCCAGTATCATCTTATATGCTTATTTTTCATCTGGATATATTTGGTGAAGTGGCTTTGTTATGCCCAGATTTCAAGATCCCCCAAAGGACATCA